TTTGCTTCTGTTGTAACCATGTAATACTTTTGTAATGAAATACTCTGATGAATAGATAAATGTGGACTTTTATGTATCAATGCATGTCTCTATATGGATGGGTTTAATGTTGTTATTTTGAGGGCGTTACACAACCTAACCAAATAATTTCTCCATTATTTTAATGTTATGTTTGAATCTCAATTTGTACACACAGAGAGAGGGAGAGGCAGAGAAAAAAAAATTTAAGTGAAAGAAGCTATTTTTTTCTTGGTGATTGTTGGATCCAATTCATTGGTACTATAGAATAAGGTTGTCTTTCCAATTAGGGCTTTCTTGTATAATAGCAGGAACACAAAAACTAAACACAATTATACACGTAAATCACATTAATGGATTAAATTTTTTAAAATGTATTAGTGAAACTCACTTCAGAAAAATCTTTTCCATTTATTTATTTCCATACAATATTAAGGAAAAAACAAAGCTTTTATTGCATGTAATCCGAATAATCATAGATTTAAATGAGGCCAAACCAAACACAGTCATGCGTTCAATAATATATACTCATCCCACATTGTCCAAAGAGAAAACAAAAGCTAACTTTATAAATCATTTGTTGGGCAAATTCTAATCGCCGAGCTAAGTAGCACTAGCTTGTGACTCGAGCGAGGGCATTATGGTGGCTGGACAATGGTTCGATCCATTTAGGCAGGTTCAGTGAGCTGCGCTTGCTGGCTTGCCCGGTCCAAGTTGGGAGTTGGGTCATGCAGCCCAAGCGAAGGCTTGGACTTCATGGCTCGTAGAGTGGAGGGCACAGCGTCAGGCTGGTTTCACAGAGCAGCGATAACCTCCCGCTCTCGACAGTGGACGGACTACAAGCCGGTGCACTCTTGGGCCATATTGCCTGGTGACTCGAATACATTGAACAACCACTTTTTTGCTATTTTGCCAGCCTGCTCGGCTCCATTAATCTACCACGGGATCAATTCGGAGGGTTTCACAGTTTTAGACTGCAGCATCCATGAAATATAGATTTGGAAAATCAAGAATGCTGTTTTTTTAACCAATCCCCACTTTATTTAAAACATATCTCTTAATACCAGGAGTTTTGATATTATTATTTTTCAAAATGCTCTTGTTTTGTGAAGTTGTGTTCAGAGAACACTTGAAACAAACATTTTCAAAACTTAAACTAAAAAACTGCCAGCAAGTTTTGCCACACGGGGCCTAACTATCTATCACAAAATTCTCGCTATTTGTTATCTTATGTTATTTATCAAAATACCAAAACAAAGGTAATGAATTCTATTATATGAATCAATCACATTGAAATTGGTGTAGTACATGACAATATCTCAACCCAACCAAATAATTTCTCCAATGTTTTAATGTTATGTTTGAATCTCAATTTGCACACAGAGAGAAACAGAGTGAGAGAAAAAAAAAATTAAGTGAAAGAAACTATTTTTTTTCTTGGTTATTGTTGGATCCGATTCATTGGTACTATAGAATAAGGTTGTCTTTCCAATTGGGGCTTTCTTGTATAATATTACGAACACAAAAACTAAACACAATTATACAAGTAAATCACATTAGTGGATTAAAATTTTTAAAATGTATTAGTGAAACTCAATTCTCAAAAATCTTATCCATTTATTTATTTCCATACAATATTAAAGAAAAAACAATGCTCTTATTGCATGTAATCCCAATAATCATAGATTTAAATGAGGCCAAACCAAACACAGTCATGCGTTCAATAATATATACTCATCCCACATCGTCCAAAGAGAAAACAAAAACTAACTTTATAAATCATTTGTTGGGCTAATTCTAATTGCCGAGCTAAGTAGCTATAGCTTGTGACTCGAGCGAGGGCATTATGGTGGCTGGACAATGGTTCGATCCATTTAGGCAAGTTCAGTGAGCTGCGCTTGCTGGCTTGCCCGGTCCAAGTTGGGAGTTGGGTCATGCAGCCCAAGCGAAGGCGTGGACTTCATGGCTTATAGAGTGGAGGGCACAGCGTCAGGCTGGTTTCACAGAGCAGCGATAACCTCCCGCTCTCGACAGTGGACGGACTACAAGCCGGTGCACTCTTGGGCCATATTGCCTAGTGACTCGAATACATTGAACAGCCACTTTTTTGTTATTTTGCCAGCCTGCTCGGCTCCATTAATCTACCACGGGATCAATTCGGAGGGTTTCACAGTTTTAGACTGCATATAGATTTGGAAAATCAAGAATGCTGTTTTTTTAACCAATCCCCACTTTATTTAAAACATATCTCTTAATACCAAGAGTTTTTATATTATTATTTTTTAAAATGCTAATGTTTTGTGAAGTTGTGTTTAGAGAACACTTGAAACAAACATTTTCAAAACTTAAACTAAAAAACTGCCAACAAGTTTTACCAAACGGGGCCCTACTATCCATCACCAAATTTTCGCTATTTGTTATCTCATGTTATTTATTAAAATACCAAAACAAAAGTAATGAATTCTATTATATGAATCAATCACATTGAAATTGGTGTAGTACATGACAATATCTCAACCCAACCATATAATTTCTCCAATGTTTTAATGTTATGTTTGAATCTCAATTTGTGCACAGAGAGAGAGAGAGAGAGAGAGAGAGAGAGAGAGAGAGAGAGAGAGAGGGGGAGGGGAAAAGAATTTAAGTGAAAGAAGCTATTTTTTTCTTGGTGATTGTTGGATCCAATTCATTGGTACTATAGAATAAGGTTGTCTTTCCAATTTGGGCTTTCTTGTATAATAGCAGGAACACAAAAACTAAACACAATTATACACGTAAATCACATTAGTGGATTAAATTTTTTAAAATGTATTGGTGAAACTCGCTTCTGAAAAATCTTATCCACTTATTTATTTCCATACAATATTAAAGAAAAAACAAAGCTTTTATTGCATGTAATCCCAATAATCATAGATTTAAATGAGGCCAAACCAAACACAGTCATGCGTTCAATAATATATACTCATCCCACATCGTCCAAAGAGAAAACAAAAGCTAACTTTATAAATCATTTGTTGGGCTAATTCTAATCGCCGAGCTAAGTAGCACTAGCTTGTGACTTGAGCGAGGGCACTATGGTGGCTGGACAATGGTTTGATCCATTTAGACAGATTCAGTGAGCTGCGCTTGCTGGCTTGCCCGGTCCAAGTTGGGAGTTGGGTCATGCAGCCCAAGCGAAGGCTTGGACTTCATGGCTCATAGAGTGGAGGGCACAACGTCAGGCTGGTTTCACAGAGCAGCGATTATATTGACTAGCCACTTTTTTGCTATTTTGCCATCCTGCTCGACTCCATTAATCTACCACGGTATCAATTCGGAGGGTTTCACAGTTCTAGACTGCAGTGTACGAAATATAGATTTGGAAAATCAAGAATGCTGTTTTTTTAACTAATCCCCACTTTGTTTTAAAACATATCTCTTAATACCAAGAGTTTTGATATTATTATTTTTCAAAATGCTCATGTTTTGTGAAGTTGTGTTTAGAGATCACTTGAAATGAACATTTTCAAAACTTCAACTAAAAAATTGCCAACAAGTTTTATCGAACGGGTCCTAACTATCCATCACAAAATTCTCGCTATTTGTTATCTTATGTTATTTATTAAAACACCAAAACAAAAGTAATGAATTCTATTATATGAATCAATCACATTGAAATTGGTGTAGTACATGACAATATCTCAACCCAACCAAATAATTTCTCCATTATTTTATTGTTATGTTTGAATCGCAATTTGTATACACAGAGAGAGAGAGAGAGAGAGAGAGAGAGAGAGAGAGAGAGAGAGAGAGAGAGAGAGAGGAGGGAAAAAAAATTTAAGTGAAAGAAGCTATTTTTTTCTTGGTGATTGTTGGATCCGATTCATTTGTACTATAGAATAAGGTTGTCTTTCCAATTGGGGCTTTCTTGTATAATATCAGGAACACAAAAACTAAACACAATTATACACATAAATCACATTAGTGGATTAAATTTTTTAAAATGTATTAGTGAAACTCACTTCTCAAAAATCTTATCCATTTATTTATTTCCATAGAATATTAAATAAAAAACAAAGCTTTTTATTGCATGTAATCCCAATAATCATATATTTAAATAAGGCCAAACCAAACACAGTCATGCGTTCAATAATATATACTCATCCCACATCGTTCAAAGAGAAAACAAAAGCTAACTTTATAAATCATTTGTTGGGCTAATTCTAATCGCCGAGCTAAGTAGCACTAGCTTGTGACTCGAGCGAGGGCATTATGGTGGCTGGACAATGGTTCGATCCATTTAGACAGGTTGAGTGAGCTGCGCTTGCTAGGTTGCCCGGTCCAAGTTGGGAGTTGGGTCATGCAGCCCAAGCAAAGGCTTGGACTTCATGGCTTGTAGAGTGGAGGGCACAGTGTCAGGCTGGTTTCACAGTGCAGCGATAACCTCCCGCTCTCCACAGTGGAAGGATTTCAAGCCGATGCACTCTTGGGCCATATTGCCTGGTGACTCGATTAGATTGAACAACCACTTTTTTGCTATTTTGCCACCTGGCTCGGCTCCATTAATCTACCACGGGATCAATTTGGAGGGTTTCACAGTTCTAGACTGCAGGGTCCATGAAATATAGATTTGAAAAATCAAGAATGCTTTTTTTTTAACCAATCCCCACTTTATTTAAAATCTCTTAATACCAAGAGTTTTGATATTATTTTTCAAAATGCTCATGTTTTGTGAAGCTGTGTTTAGAAAACAGTTGAAACAAACATTTTCAAAACTTCAACTAAAAACTGCTAACATGTTTTACCAAACGGGGCCTAACTATCCATCACAAAATTCTCACCATTTTTAAATTTTACTCCATCTAATCGATCCTCTTATTTGAGAATTTTTTAGCAGTTTGGTCTTTGATTATGAGAACCCACAAACAATATTATGAATTGGTTGAACACTACTACTACACACATATATTCAATAACAACACAGTAAGCATAGAAGTCTAAAATTGATCAACAGCCAGTGGTTGGTTTTATTCACCAAAAACATGCTTAAGAGAAAGTGCTAAAATTGTTCATCCACAAACAAATACAACATAATCCGAGAAGGAAAATAGCAAAGTAAAAGCATACTGAGACATCACCGTCACACAAAGTTTGATGAGAAAGTTCAATGCTCATCCACTGCCACAGGAACAGATTTCACCTGAAAGACAACCACAAGAACTGTTAATCCTTTTGATCTCGTCGACTCGTTTCTTAATCACTTTCGCGGATTGGCAATGGTTCTAAACATCAACTGAAACCAAAGATTGAAATAAGAAGCATTTGTAAGCCCAATTGATGACATTTATGTTTATAGAAAATTTAAAAATTGGAAACAAAAACTCGTTTAGTATCTATTTTTGTTTAATTTATAAAATTTGCTAAATTCTAGTAAACAAGAAAAAAAAGAGTTGTTTTCACTAGTTTTGAAAATGAAGTTTATTCCCTCCTACCTTCCCACTCTCCCTTGTTTTAAAAAATGTTTACCAAATATGTTTTTTGTTTCCATTTTCACCAAAAATAAACATAAACATGTTTAATGTTTTCTAGAAAAAAAAGAAAAAAAAGTAAACTGTAAATGTTACCAAACGACACCATATTCTCTTAACTGATATACTCAATATGATGACTGAAAAACTATTTCAGTTCTCAACATTCCAATAAAAGCTTATTTAAGAGCTTAAGAGGCATTCATTGAATCCAAGATTTATAATCACAGGGAATGTTGGGCTAGATAAGAGGACCAAGGACTTACTAAATCCTGGTACTTGAGAATGTAGAACATTTCCAGATATCGCCTCGTCTCACGCCTCTCCAGCTTTGACACATACTTCCAGAAGCCATAAACCCCAGCCAACGTCAGTAGTCGTTCAGAGTATATCTTCCATGTGTACCTGTGAAGTTGAATTTAGAATTGGTAAACTCAGTAAAAAGAAAAGTTTTTACTAGTATACACCAGGGGAATCAAACCTTTCATAGATACGTTTAAGCCCAGCATCAGAGATCTTGTCCCAGTGCGATGCGTTGTCTTGGCATTGTTCAAAAAAACCAACCATAAGAGCTGCAACCTGATCAGGGTGATATGGGTCGATATGAAATCCTGAAACACCATGCTCGATTATCTCTCCAGGGCCACCATGACAAGTAGCAAATGTAGGAAGCCCACAAGTCATGGCCTCCACAACTGTAAGACCAAACGCCTCATAGAAAGCAGGCTGCAAGAAAGGATGATCAAAGTTAAAGAAGCATTGCTGTGATCGTAAAATTCTAAGGATATTCAATTGCAACGCACCTGCACAAAAGCACCTCTTGTATCTGCAATGTAGCGATAAAGCTCACCATTTCGAGCACGGTTCATTTGAGCTGTTATCCATCGAAATTGACCGTGCAAGTTGTATTGTTTTATGAGGCCATGCATTTTTTCAATCTCTGCAACCTCTTCTCTATCCCTGGATTTGTTCACGTCAATGTAACCGCCAACAACAACAAGGTTAACCAGCTCCCTTAGCTTTGTGCTCTTACCATAACACTCTACCAGCCCTGTTATGTTTTTCACCTTGTCAAGTCTCGCCATGGAAAAGATAATAGGCTTTGATTGATCGCTCAAGAAGCCACTGCAATTAACATAGATGAAGTATTGGATCAGTGATCAGCACAACATAAACTTGCAGAGGTGCAAGTGCAATGTGCAATAATTTTTTATTTGTTGCACAAATGGACAAAATATAATTTACTGTTGCAAAACTCAAACCATATATTTTCCTTTCAAAGTTAATGTATTGAATTTATGTCCTTCCAAGTCCTGACTTGACAACAAGAATGGTAACCATTCAATTAAAAACTTACCCATCTTCAAGTGCACTTCTTTCTTATGGCAATGCCAACATATTAGAGGCCAAAATTCTCAGAGAGTTACATTACAAATTATGGAAAACAAAAAGAAGGAAACACTTACATGTGTTCATCATTCTGCTCGGGATCATATAGAAGTTCTTCAATTGAACCATGTAGTGCAGTAAGCCTCTTTTGATTTTCCGAATATGGAAAGTATATGGTCATATCTGCCCCCGGGGAGACGATATTAAACTTGGGGTCAAAGACATCAATGCCATGTACAACTCGATACAGCCCTGGAAGAGTGAAAGCTGTGTGGCTCTCATACTGTCCAACATGAGTCTTACTGCAACAAATAACACAAATATTCATATTTCTTGTGTAGTTACTTCCAAATATAAACAAGATTCATGAAGGGGAAAAAAAAAAGAAGAAGAAGAAAAAACCTAATTGTATTTAACAGAAAAAGAAAAAGATTATGTTTACCATCCGAAGGAATTATTTCCAACAGTCACCGTGTTTCATAAATGCATTGGATATATGCATATCATAGATATTATATTTCTATTGCCAATTCAGAAAGAAGGATATGAAATCATGACACGTAATAATCATTCAAATTTCCTTCAATCAAAGGGAAAGACTTGCCTTCCTGCAATCTCTTGGTATGTACTTGTTATTATAAAATCAGCATCGTTCATTGCAATTAGATCAGCTGTGAATTGGCATGAGAAATGGTACTTGTCCTCATATTTCCTCCAATACAAATCGGAATCTGGATATTTTGTTTTCTCCAAAGCATGAGCTATGTTGCACTGCTCAAAAAATGATGTCATGAAAAGATGTAATTAAAATGAAAAAAATTTCACCACATAAACATGGATATTCATAAAAAGGAAAACGAGAAGGATACAAAATCACAGAAAACCTGTGTGATGCCAAGCTTATTCGATAATAAAGTAGCAACAAGATTCCCATCACTATAGTTGCCAATGATCAGGTCAGGAACACCTTGTAACTCAGCAGCAATCTCATTTGCAGCATCCTAATCACAATAAACATAAGATATATTATATTTCCTTCAATGTAACACATCAAATCCAGAACATGTAATGTAACACATCAAATCTAAAAATCATAACTTAATTGTTAGCTCGAGTTTACCTCTGAGAAGGTCTCCAGAAATGGCCACACATCAAATCTTGATATCCATTTACGAAGAATACCTTTCTCATTTCTAAAAGGCACCCGCAGAATATGCGAGTGCTCTGTTCCGCTGATTCTCTCTAGTCTCTGATTGCATGTTGTCCCTTTCGCATCTGGTATGAGTCGGGTCACCTAAGGCCATCATTGTTGAAACATTAGATGTTAAACCAAGATAGAAATATATGTTATGGTAAGTGAATGGAAAAGTGAAAGAAAGACAATATCGATTAGAGTTTGACTCAAAGCAAAGGAATTTTGAAGTACACTTACGACAAGAATTTTTGGTATAACATCAAGTCCTTGATTCTGTATTCTAAGAAGCATCTCATTCTCCAAGGCGCGGACTTGATCGAGTATATAAACAACCTGCTCATTAATGGCAGACAGTTCGCACGGAGTTTGGAAATAAGGCATCACAATTTTGACCATAAACAAGAAGGGAAGGACTATACAAGCCAACACCAAAAAAAAAAAACCAAGAAAGAAGTAAAAGAGGATGCTGTTTTTGAGGTCTCAATTCTCAAACATGACTAGAACACAACTCATAATGGTTATCTTGACAATACCTGTCCACCAGTATCAGGCAAACCTAACACATTTGCTTGGCCGAAGTATCCATGGGGAGACAGAATTACAACATTAAACACCATTGGAATTCTCCCAAGGAATGTCTCCAAGGACGAGGGATCAGGAGCTTGAAGAATTTCCAGGAGTAAGTGCACCATCTCTGATACCCGTTGTGCTGTGTCACCCCAACCTTTCTCAAAACCCATTCCTTGAAGTCTTCATTCAGAGGGACAGAGAAAAAGTGAACACTGTCAATAACCTAATACTTCAAATTGAATGGCAATGATTTTAATCCCCTGCATGAAGGTAATTTGGGCATTTAGAAAGAGATTGTCGCTTACACATATTCAAACTGAGAGTATGGTTCATCTGGTGGGAGCTTAGAAAGATATTCCTCTGCCCTTGCCAAAGCAAACTGAAGTCCAGATATCGTATGTATCCGATCATTCAGCATCATCACCTGCAAAACACATTGGCAAAATCAAAATCATCTCAAGTCTGCTCATGCCAATTACAAAACTCCTGTATTATTATTATTATTATTATTTTTCTCATTTTGAATGGTAAGCTAGGATCAAACTGACAAGATTTTTTTTGTTTTTTAAATTCAGATGACACCCAAGAAATTGATTGTCAAAACAATGTCAATGCCAAAAGTTAAGAAGACTTACAAGACCATTATGTTTGTGGGTGCGAAGAAAATGAAGCAAAGGCTCCAAACTTTCTTTATTACGGAACATGATTGAAGATAGGTGACGATTGAGAAATTGAACCCCATTGCCAATAGAAGATGACCGAGTTGGTCTTGGAAATGTTGCATTGAACGGCTCAAAATCAAGTTCCAGCACAAAATTTTCATTGTACCTAGACCAGGTTCCAAATTCCAGATTCGAATTAAACTTGCGGTGAGTTAAATAAATATGCAAAAGGGAACATTAATAATGATAAAACAATTTCAAGAGAGGTTCCTTACTCTCCATCCACAAGTTCTTCTTTGAAGCGAAGATATTCTGGAACACTTAATTGTTCCACACTCAGTTCATACACATTGACACGAACATATTCCCAAACACCAGGTCTTGGGCGAATTGCTATTGCCACAAATGGGGGTAGAACTATAGCTTCCTGCAATTGTGATGTATTAATCAAGTGTGCAAACAAAAAGAATCTGAACAAAATATAAACAGAAAAAGAATTCATATATTGTGCCATTGTTCTAGAAGGCTTCCAAAGATATGAATGTGAAACTAGAAGCATAACTCAGTTGGTACACAAAATCAGCACCAAAAATAGAAATGAGATTATTTACTGGAAAAGTATAATGCTGACATTTAAACAATCATGGGCTTATTTTCTGTGTGCATTAACAGACTCAGTTTATGCTACTAAACAAATCATCTTCTCATGCTAAATATTAAATAAGAGATGTTAATTTCAATGGAGATCATCTAGATAACTGGACTTTTTGTGGATGATGTTTACCAATGTGAAGAGAAGACTCATCTATTACATGGAAAGGAGCCATTTATTAAGAGAAGCCTTCTTTCATTTATCATTTTTCAAACTGCATGGATCTTTCCCAAATAACATGGTTCCCTATCCTTAACATTCAGTTGCATGAAATAAAAATCAAAACACATCGAAGAAACTAGAAGAGACTTAGATATAAAACAAGTCTCTAAGCTTCACAACAATTTATTAAAATGAAAAGTGAAGTAATTTGGGTTTCTCATATATACGTACACACAGAAATATGGCCGATGGCCTTGTGGTCTAGTGACATCACCCCAACACTTCCACGGCGGAGATTGGGGATTCAGGCCCCGGTAGGGGCATGGGTGTTTGGAGGGGCATGGGTGTTTGGATGGATTTGGGAGGGGTACGGCATTAAGGGGTATTTGGGAGAATGCACACCAATTAAAGAAAAAACATACAAATTATATATACACATGCAAATACATGTGGGGACACAACCATAAAGACAAAATTAGTCGATGATGTGACAAAAGGCAACATTATTGTGTAATGCTATAAACACAAAAATTTCACAGAATTGACAATGAATGTAATGCTATCAATACTGCATTTTTTGGAAAATATGTATATATATATTTTCGTGTTGTTTTCGCATTATAGCTGCTAGAAACGATTATTAGACTGGAATACCAAAAATAAATATCAACTTAATTTTTTTTTTTAGTAATTTAATTTCCATGAGTCCTTCAAATGGTCTTGTTAGGCTGTAACTGATGCAGCGGAATACACGAGAATTAGATATCGTTCTATAAGGCTTATATAGCTATTTATAATAAACTAAATCTAATACTTGTAAGAAAAATAATTCTAAAATAAATTAGGAAACTTAAATTAACACAAATTAAGAAACTTAAGAAAATAGGAAACTAAAATTCTAAACTATTTAAAATCCTAGTCAAAATCTAATTCCAAAATAATAAAATTAAGAAACCTAATAATTCTAAAATATTTATACTAAATTACAAGAATCCTAATAAAACATTATATCAAAAATATTAAAACTAAAAATATAAAAATTCTTAAAATCTTGTCTCATACCAGTAACCTTTAGTGCCGCATTTACCTGTGCAGACTTCAGAATTTGGCTAAAAGGACTCTCCTTGAGCTCCTGCATGACTCCATCTTTTCCAACAACATTCTCAAACTCATCAATCAGCTGATGATGTTGCAATATCCCCTTTCCCTTAGCAACATACCTTCCAAAATCACAACAAATTAAAACCGAATTCCCAAATTAAAACACGCACAAAAAAATAAATAAATAAAATAAAATTCCCTCATCTCAAGGCAACTGTTTTTTTGATAACTCGATATCTGAGCCGATTAATCTAGGACCAAGGTATTAGGAAATAATTATCCAAAAAGCTTAAAGTATTAGAAAATAAATCCAACAATATATATGAAGTTAATACTTTTGCTTATGTGCAACGTTGTCGCACGCGGAGAGACAAATATACCGAAAAAACAAGATGCACAATGAGAAGTAAAATAGAGTACACAATGCATGAAAACAAATAAAATAGGGTGCATAATGAGAAAGATACTTGAACGACAAGACAGGAATAGACAAGTTTCTATTCGCGGTCATTAAACTTTTCAGGTCACACCATTTTCTCGTTCGAGTATCAACTAAACAAAAATCCAGTATTTGTATATTACCTACTGAATCCGAACCATGAATTTTTGTTGACAATTGACAAAATAATGTGAACTGAGCAACATAAAATAAATAAATAAATAAAAAGAAAAAAAAAAAGTGTAGTGTGCAAATAGAAGCTCATAGAAGTAGAGCTCAATTCCCAAAAGTTTTTAAGTTAGTAGACTCAACAACCAACAATGTATGGCAAGCAAGCAGCAAACCATGCAAGAGAGAGAGAGAGAGAGAGAGATGAACCTAGAGAAGAGAGAAACGAGCTCATTGCGGTGACCAGAGAGGGCCTCATGGACCGTGTCTCGAATACTTGGCGGACCATCCATTCTTCGGTGAGGCATGATTTACAACAATCAAACCCAAATCACTCAACCCCAATTTCAAAACACACACAGAAAATTGAATCGAGAGAGAGAGAGAGAGATGATGATAATGATGATACATATATATGTATATGTACAGATATAGAGCGATGTTTTCGAGTTGGGGAATAAAGATGTGGCGAAAGGGCATCAAGACAGACGAATGGGGACAAAGGGAGAGGGTGAAACGGCCATTGTTGTTGCATGCAAATATAGAGAGGTGTCAGATGAGCAGTGAGAATCGAGACAAACAGACAGACATGGTAGAGAGAGGGAGAGAGGGAGCTTAAAGCAAAGCAAAACCCTCCTCGACTCCTCCGCCTATGAATCGGTGGGCGGCGGCGGCGGCGGCGGCGGTGGTTCCGAAGTGGTTTTAGGAATCGCAATCGATGTTGCGGAGAGTGGAGTGCACTTGCCAATGAGAAGACATGCATGGCGAATTGATCATTTGTACATAGTACAGTTGTGAGTTCCTTGTCGATGGCTAATTATTAGTCTGAGAACGCAGACACGTGTTGTGTTTCATATTATTGTGGGTGGTGAAGAAATAAAAATGCTAGAGGTTTTAAAAATTCTACTAAAATTTTTATCAAATGTTGTATGGGACCCACATGGGACCCACACCACAATCATGTGAGACATTTGATAAAATTTTTGATAGAATATTTGAGATCTGTAACATTACTCGTGAAGAAAATAGGTTGATAGGGTATTGTTTTAGTGATTAAGAAAGACATATTTATACTATATATTAACTAAAAGGGTATTTTTAATCTTAAATTTTGTGGGAGTTCCAATCTCTCAATCTAAATTTTTTAATTTTTTAATTTAAAAAAAAAATCTTAACATTTATTAACTTCTCCCAACTCCCAAGTCTTACCATCATAATAACATTTTAATGCATTAAAAATAAACATAAAAAAAATTCTTTGAAATCCAACATATATAAATTCCTTGAAAAGTCCCAACATATATGATTATTATCCCTCATAATAACATTTTAATGCATTAAGAACAAGTAAAAAAAATTTCTTAAAAAGTCCAACACATATGATTATTATCAAAATATTAAACTTTAATATAATATAAAAAAAGAAAAAAAAAGACATTTAAAAAAAATAATTTAAAAATCACAATTCACATATATAGATAATTGTAAACACAATCCGTGCATAGCACAAGTGATATGCTAGTTGTTTTAGTGATTAAGAAAAACATATTGAATGATAATTGATTAAGGAATATATACATGTGGAATTCTGAGTATTGAATAGTAATAGTTAAGTTTACTTGGTTGGTGTTAGATTCTTTATTTTTTTTTTTAGTAAAATATTTTAATATTTTTCTTATTTTTAGATTTATTTAATTTGATTTAAAATATATATCATTTATATAATGTTTTTAAAAAAAAATTACTAAATATAAAAATCAACATATTTTCATTTTTTATTTTTGTATTTATTGAATTTTTAAAGATTTCTTTTAGTAATATTTTTACTGTTTAGGTGCATTTAAATTAAATGTATTTAAAAAATAACTAAAATATAAAAAAAATTACTAAAAATAACAAAATACAAAAAATAAAATCAAGAATCCTTAACTACTAGTGAATATCATTTTATCTCTCTAATCTTTAAATTCGTACATTTTAACTCTCTCAATTATAAAAATATATTACTTTCAATTATGTTCTTCAACTTCAAAAAAGAAAAATGTTATCCTAAAACCATTTTCTAAATGAGAGGAAGAACAAACTTATCCAAAACAATTAATATGGCAGTGTCATTTTCACAAACTTTATCCAAATCCCCCCCAACTCCTCTTGCAAGATGCAAATCTCCAATTATTTTGCTAAAAAAATATATGGCAGGTATATATGCTTCTCTTCTTGCTTAAACTAACTCACAAAATTATCTTATCCTTTTCATTAGATATTGAAGAATATTTGCCAATTATAAAGCGATGAAGCGAGAAACACGATGACAGGAGAGAGAGATCCAATACTAGAAAGTACAAAGGTAATTAGTATGTTAATAATCATAAGGCGTTCAACCAATTTACATCGACTTTTTGAAAAATTTTGGTGCATCCATTGCAAATATTTTTCTTAAAAATTAATGCAAATGAAAAGAAAACACTACAAGAAATTAAGGTTTTTTAGGGATACAAATAATTTATCTGTAAAAATTATACTTTTAAGGATAAAATGAAAGAATTTAAATATGTATATATATATATATATATATATTTAATCATGTTATTTTCTAAATTTATTTGGTTGTAATAGGATAAATCACTTTTACCTACAATTTTAGTTGGTCCCTAATAAACACAAATCATATATTATTGTATTTTATATATTAATTTTTGAACTCAATAGTTGGGACTATCAAAAACAAAAACAAAAAAAGCATCCAGGTTTCATCGCTCACTCTCTTCCTCTCTCTCTCTCTTAAATCCCTAATTTCTTTTCATATATCTCTTTTCTACGGATTCAATATATGAACTCAATAGTTCTTCTCTACGGATCTCGTTGATTGCTTCTGATCTATGGTTCATCATTGTCTCATAACATCTCTCTCTAGGGCTGGATTGCTTCGTTGCCGCTTTATCTCTCCTTAATTCTCTAATTTTCTGGCGACTCCTCGGTAGCTATTCCGATCAAGTACCATACATATATGTATATACATACATATATGTATTTGTATAATCGATTTGATATCGCAATTTCAGCCTTTGGTTTCGTGCATTGTTTTTTTTTTTTTTTGTTTTGATCGACAAAAGAAAACTTTATTGATAAAAACATACAAAGTATGATAAATAACATTAACAAAGAGAAGCTAGGAGCTAGCAGAAGCTTGAAGCTCCTAATTGGTAAGAAACCAACAAATAGCAAAATCAGATACAACTACTTGAATTACCATCCCATCAGCAGCAGCCAATAGCAACAAACAACAACAATAACTAGCAAACAAAAACCACCAAACAGCCATTGTTGTGCATAACGGCCAGTTTCTTCCCATACAACAAACAGCATAACAACAAAAACTCACCAAGACAAATGCTGAGCAAATCTTTAATAAAGACTACGCAGCCATAAAACTTCACAGCAGACAAACCAGAGTTCACCCAACACTTCAATCAATGACATCTCCTTTGCTTTATATGCCACAAGCAAAGTCCTAAACAACAAACTCCAAGTACATGACCAGCAGCAAAGCGCAAAGCAAAATTACCACCTCAATAACAAACTCCAAGTGTAAGACTAGCAGCAGAGCAAAATTTAACAACAGACTCAACCACCATTTCCACAATACAAAAAACAGAATAGATAAAAAGCTAGACCAACCCAACAGATTATCAACCAAAAGAAGCAAAACCAAGACCTAGGTCAGTCACATTGACAAGTAAAGCAAATTATAAACCAAGGCAATGACAGGTAAAAGTTGTTGTTGTTGTTTCACCTACTAACCTAGGCACCTTCTTACTTGTTGCAGATTATGAACCAAATCATTAACAGAATAAGCCAGAGAAGAAACTGAGGACTTAACTCACAAGGCAATTTGCACCTTAATGGTTTCACATAAAACTTCAAAATTAGGCTGCACCTCATTAAACACACAATCATTCATATGTTTCCAAATGAACTAGAAAATTGCAAATGGGATTACACTCCATAACTTCTTTCTCACATTCCTCATTCTACATCCAGATCACCACTTTAGTAAACTTTGAACGGATCCTGGTGAAACCCATTGCAGTCTCCACCACCTGCAAGAAGAATAAATAAGAATAAAATTGCAATTGCAGCAGCAGTTCTTGAGCTGAAAAACCTTAAGATTCCAGATACAGAGTAACCCACCAACAACCCCTACTAAATCAACTAACATAAACTCAATTTTTTCACCAGCCCAAATGGAGTTCACAAGCTCTGCATTGATAACCTCATTTTTAGTTTCTTGCAAGAGCACCATATTTATGTTCCTCTCCTTGAGCACCTGTTTAACTTTCCTATATTTTCCAGGCCTACCTAACCCCCTAACATTCCATGATAAAAGCTTCATTTAAAAAAGATAGCAACTCCTGAACCTCCTAGAATAGTCAATTAACTGGACACTCTCTTCTGCTTTTTGTGCACCACTTCCATGTCCAAAGATTCCAACTCAATAAATTTGCCCACAACCTCCTCTTCTTTGTTTTCGCAGTTCAACCCAAGTGCTCTCCACATCTGTAAGGTTGCTTCAGCTTCATTGAGTAACAATCTACCTCTACTGAATTCACTTGCCATGGAAAGTGAAATTACAGCCAATGCAGACCTAAAGATTGCTCCTTTCTTGAGTTTTACTGTAGACCAATAATATTATGAAGCTCCAGACCCCTTTCTTGTTCTAGACTTTCCTCCTCACACCTTTACTCTTCTGTTTCCTGCAAGCCTTCTTAATCTGTGGTGAAGATCAAGAGCACTCCCCAGACTTTCCCTGTCACGACCCAAACCCGCTCCTATAGGTTTAGCGTTGTAACCGGCCAGTAATTCTTAGATTACCGAAGGCCTCTAAACAGAATAACGTATAATTAGTGGTTGCAGAAGCAAATATACAAAATACAACGTCCATCGAGCTGTGTAGACATACATGAGGCAAAAAAAAAAATTTAAGTTCATAAACATACACATGACGTCACAAAGATACCATAATTACATGTCATTTCATGTATAGATAACCAAAAACCTGATCATAAACCAAAAGAAAACAAAGTTTTAAACGTTCAGAAAAACGTGGCCACACGACTTGACTTGATCCGAACCTTCCTCGGGAGGCACAAAGGATGGCTGACAAAAGGGAATTTTAGACCATCAACTTTGGACCTGGTCACATGACTGATCACCTACATACATAAAGTAATAGTGAGCGGGAGCCCTGTGAATAATAACAAAGTAAAGGGTTTTAATGAATGTTGTCCATAACGATTACAGAAAACAG